CAACAAATAAGTTTTTTCGTAATTTGACCTTATCTCTCAGGGGTTGACGTAATTTATGCCAACATCCCCATGCTTTTAATAATTAAGTGGTGTTTGCAAATGTTTTCCCAAAGTGCTTACAAATTTTCTAATGTTTAAAAAAATACTCATAATTACTTTAAAAAAAACATTTACAAGCACCACATAAGTACTTCAAAATCAACTTAACTCATAATATCACAAGTTTTAACCTCTACTTTTAAACAAACTTTTACAAACACCACCTTAAAAAAAAAGGATTAAATAGAAAATAAATAAACATTAAAAAGAAATAAAAAAAAATAGAAATCTTTCCCTACACCACCCCCTCCAAACGAGAGGCCAGAATTCAACCGCCCAACTTCTCAAAGGAGAGAAAGAAAAGAAAAAAAATGGCGGTCCTCTCCTCCTTCCAAACAAACCCCTATTCCTCCCACATCTACACCGCCACCAGCAAGCCCAGCCCACCGTCTCTACTCTACACGCGCCGCCTCCACAGAACTCGCCGGAGCCGCCGCAATGATCAGAACGGCGGATATCTCGTCGTCAGAGCTTACATGGAGGAATCGAACTCGATTTCCGGTTTCGTGAACAAAGTAATCGGCTCGCTGCCGGTGGTGGGGCTATTCGCCAGAATTATCAGCGACGAAGGCGGCGTCGGCGGAGATATTATCGATTTTGCAGAGTTTAGAAGGAGAGTTGGGAATAAGTGCTCCGTTAATGATTCCAGAGCTTTGTTTGAGCTTCAAGATCGACGTGGCAAGGTATTCTTTTTTTCTCAATCACGAATTTTAACTATTATTATGATAAATTAGCAAATATAATTACCCTCAAATTATAACTGATTTCATATTTAGTCCCCGCGTTTCAAAAATTTAACATTTTTAGTCATTTTCATCACTTTCTTGTTAGTACCAACAGAGATTGTACCTGTCACCGCTTTAACTGAACGAGACTAACTGTAAATTGACGAAAATGGCCTAAAATGTTAGATTATTGAAATTTGAGGGACCAAATGTGAAATTGGTGCAAACTTGAGGGGTGAAACTGTAATTTTCTAATAATTATCTAATGCATCTTTTGCTTCTATTGTTTGAGATTGGGTTTTTCTGTTTGTGAACAGGCAGGTGACCCGCTGTATGTGCTACTATGTTGTTGGGTAGCTGCTGTTGGTGCCGGTCTCCTCAAAACCGAGGAGATTTTGGAGGGAGTTTCGAGGCTTCGGATTTCCGATGATATTGAATTTGAGGAGGAAACCTTCATTGCAATGATGAATGAATCAAGAGAGGTTTGTGCTTTTTCTATACCGTTTCGTTATCGTAATTGAAATCGAGCTTAAAAAATAATCACGAAATTGAGTGCAAATGCGAATTATGAGTAAATTATATCGTAGTACAATCATAGTCGTGCTATAATAAGTACAATTTCAAAAAATATATATACTTTAGGTAGATGCTAAACTCGATAAATCTACACAATTGTGTTTGTATATGTTATGTACTAAATGAAGACTAGGTAATATATACACCAGGATACACACACCATTAGATGTAGCTTATGAACTTGAACCTTATAATATGGTGTTTGCACAACCTTTCGAAAATATAGAAATTGGTGATTTATGAGTAAAAATTGGAATAATTAGATATTCATAAAAGATGGGTGTGTTTGTTATTACCGTGAAAATTCGAGGTTAGGAGGTCGACTATAAGTCCACATTTTTGCAAACATAACTTTAACTCTTAAGCCTATTAAATCACTTATAAATTGAACTTAGATAAAAATAGCAATGGCACAAATGTCCCAATGTAAAAGCAGCTTATTTAAAGATAAGCAAAAGCTAAAAATGAGAGCTTTCTTGAAACACCGCCTAATTACTATATGCATTTTTTGGTGTGTTTTTCACTTTCAGAGGCGATCGAAACTGAGAACTCCTCCCCCTCCAATTCCGATGGAGATTCGAGCTGAGAAAGCTCTAGAAGCAATCTACGTATGTTGCTTCGGGAGGGATCTTATAGAACAAGAAGACGAGGAATTACTATGCATCATCCTAAGTTCCGTCTTCCCCACGGTGGGAAAGAAAGAGATCGAAAGAATGGTGAGAGAGAAAGCGACGAGACTATCTGAAGGTACCGATGAAATCAAGATTCAAGAGCCGAAGCCATTGCCGAAAGAAGCTGTGCAGCTGCAGATGAAAGATCTGCAGTTTCTCAGGGAAGGAAGCGACACACTGTAAAAACATCCATCTTTTGTTCCGATCAAATGCAATTGAGATAATCGATTAACGTGGTATGTTTTAGGCACTACGAACTAGAATATGAAGAACAGAAGAAAAGCCCGTGAAATTTCCGATTTCTTTTCCTGAGTTCATATTTGATGTATAAAATGTCTGCGCAAATATGTTACACGATGTACCTATAATGAATTCATGCTTCATTATCTTCAAAGGTTCGAATTCTCCAACATAAACAGATGTCACAATATAAAGAAGAATGTAGCGAGAGATCCATTCAACCGACCAGCTATCGTATTTCTCGATATAGCATGGAATGATTCTGCGATTTCACTAACAGAAAAATACGTGCGTTCGGAAAACGCAATATATTAAATCAAGGGGTAGGGACAAATCATGTTTAACCAAAAATATATATCCATTTTGGCATTATATTTTGTTCGTCTTACAAAAAACAAAAAGCAACGAGCATCTTTGGCCGTCTTCACATCATCTCTTTGTTCGAAAATTTCGTTACGAAAGGTCCTGCTATAGTGGTGTCGCGAACCCTAATTGACCCCAAAACAAATTGACAACAAATAAAATTAAAATTGAAATTTTGTTTAGCAAGTCTGATTTCTACATAGATTTGATTTGTCTATCAAATTCGCCATGATGCATTTCAGTAGAGGCAAAATGAAGCTAAAATTGAGAGCATAAACAGAAGAGAAATGGGGAAATTCAATCACGTACCTTCAGAAAGAGAACCCCATTGGCCAACCTTGGAAGACAGCATTGAATTCAGCAAAGCGGAAGCAGTAGCCGAATGCAGAGGCATCAACGATTCGCCGGCGCATCCCAGCTCAACCGGTAGCCTAAAACAATGGCAAAACCGTAAATATAATTCTCAATTAACTCGGCAAGGAGGTGACGTCATTAGCTTTTTTAAGGTGAAAATCGACAAGAATTTTCAGGCGAAAACCTGGAGGAGGAGAAGGGTGGGCGGCGGCGTGGGGCGGTGGCCGCGAATCCGTTGAGCTTCGATGGTCCCGGCGCAGCTGAAGGCTGCGATTGGATGCGAGATAACAAGGTTTTTGCTGAAGAAGTGGATCGACGGAGTAGATTTCTCGCACAATTGGACGCCATTGTTTTGTTGCTTCGATTCAGATATCAGAAATCAGAAATCAGAAATCTCTGTGCTTCTTAAACCCTAGAAATGTTTTTTTTTACCCCCTTTTGGAATTGAGCAGCGCATACTGGTTTGATACTGATGGGCCTATGGGCCTGTAAATTTGATATTAAATAAAATAATTCTTTTAAATAAATATTTAATCAATTAACGAAATAATAGGGGTTACTAGTGTAAACTCATGCAATTAATTTTCTATATAGGAGAGTTGGTACCTAGCCCTTACCAATAGGGTAACGGTCTAGGGTTCGAGTCCCCCCCCACCCCTATTTCCCCTTGTAATGGACTTGAATTTACTCAAAAAAAAAAAAAAAAAAAAAAAAAAAATCTATATAGTGATTTTTATTTTACACCGACAGTGATTAAAAATAAAAATAAAATAACAATATTGCACATAAAGCAATAAAAAATAGGTTATTATAATTATTGTGAAAATTAGAGAGATTATTGAGAAATCATATTTACTGTTTAGTACCAAAGTTGAACAATTTTAACTCTAGACCTTGTTACTAAAACTAAATAATAAGTTAATACTCCCCAACTCCCATATTATTTGTGGTCTTGATTTAGTGCATGTTACATTAAGAAAACTAATAAACGTGCATGATTTTTCGGTAGTGATCGAACACATAGTATAACCATTACCATACTTTCGCAACAAATTCTGCGTCGTAACGGTTCGACAAATATTAAACATTGTACCACACATATTAAACCCTAATAAAGAGTTAATATAAACTGAAATGTCCTCAAGAACTCCACAAGCTGCTACATATTTCTCACTGCATGAGATATTCATCACAGGTGAAAAACTTTATTACAACAGACAAAACAAAAGCCACGTTTTCATCCTGCCTATATATATATATCACCTTTGATAATCCTTTGCTTTTACCTTCAGCTGCAATTGCTCGTCATCGAGTATAAATATAAATCGAGCTTCTTCCATACCAAGACAACTTCAAGATTCATCTTCCTAAACGAGAACTTTGTTGTGAATAACGCAAACGAAGAGGGACCTCATAAACGACAAATTTATCTCACCTCGGCAATCTCCTAAACAAACCCCAATTTCAGCTTCTTCATTCTTTTTTTATTATTTTCTTCAATATAATTTAGTCAAGATGAGATAGAAGAGAATATTCACAGCTTTATTCCTCGACAACATTGACTAGTTCATATTCAACGAGGGAGAGATTGTTGTCTTCTTTGACAGTGAAATTTGCGGGTTCGGTCACTTCTACACGACCCCATTTGTCCACTGCAAGCCTCATTGAGCCTTTGAACATGTCGATTTTTGCGTTTCTCAGAATCACAGTAGCATCGGCCTTCATCATTTCCACTGCATATTGAGAAATAAAATCACGATCAAAAGTATGCAAATTTTTAGATTTTTTAACAACAATTTGGGATACGATACCTTATCACGTACCATTAAACCCCCGCTTATAATACCTAACTAATAGGACGTATGAATTCAAATGCAACTTCACATAAATTATATTTACATCGTAAAGAAAACTAAGTGCGTAAAGTAAAACCAGACTCTCTCGAAAAACACGAGGGTGCATCCCTTGTAATATTCTATTGCATGCGAGCGTTATGAATATGCAACAAGCTGTTCAACAACAAACAGATGTAATTACTTTTTGATTCCCTAAGCTATTGCTCTGATACAAAATGGGAGAACGTAACACGAGATAAAATTTTGGTCAATACACATTGTGTAATTCCTGTTATGACGATCTTTATTAGTATGGTAGCAATAATAACTTCTAAGCGAAAATACCTATTCGATATAATCAAAAACGAACAAATAAAGTCGAAGTCATATCCTCAATCCAACTTTCCATACAGCAATTTTTTCACATAAAACAAACCGTACACATATCGTACCTTGCTCGTTTCTTGCAGTAAACAAAATTGTCCCAGTTTCGTCTCCAACCAAACACTCGGCAATTCGCATTTGATTAACCTGCGGGGCATCCGGCCTTCCCTTACGCAGTACCGTTTTAGCGGTCACGACTTTCACCACGAGATTGTGTCCGTTTGTGCCCGGGCGTAGCTGATCAACCTTCGTGAAAACTGGCTTCCTCATAGCTGATTTTATTTCAGCCATTTAAACAAAAACCCTACAATACAATAGAATATTCGATCACCCCAAAATAAGAGATATAAGTCTCTCTGCATTAAAAAATAAATTAAAAAAAAAACAATCTTTACATTGTTAAACCATCAAAATCACCACAGATAACATTTAGAAGCTGAAATTAAACTGAGTAATTATCCTAACAAAATGAACCCATCACCCACCACACACATAAACAAAAAAAAAAAAAAAAAAAAAAAGGTAAAAACCCTAAATAATCAGATCGAAATCCGAAAATGAAAATGTTTTCAGACGATTCAAAATTCTACAATACAATTTCGGATCTGACAATTGAGAAATTCGAATTTACCTTTGGAACAGAGAAATTGGACAATCTGGGGCGAATCGCTTTTCTCTTTTTTTTTTTTTTTTTGGTTTAATAATCAACTTGTGTTTGTTTTTTGCAGGTGGATACTTTCTGGTGGGGGGCGACCATCGGAATCGCTTTGGAATGACAGGTCATTAGGTTTTGACCGTTGATCTTCCAAATTTTCTAATCGAATCTCAGCCGTCTGCTTAATTTGTACTTAAAACGTCAAATTCGATTGAATTACCATACCAAAGTCGCGTCTACATCAACATAGATATGGTGTAAACTTAAAAATTCAACGTAAAATAAATCATATTCTAAATGGAGAATGGAAATTTTACTTTGCATCTATGAATTATGGGGTACGATGCAAACACATCTTTTAATTATTAAATGTATCGAATACCTTTTCATCGTTTGTGTTATGTTTAAATATGTTGACGTTAATTGTTGACTTTCTTGTTATCAGTAGTTATTATAATATATTGTGTTATGGTTGAAAGTTTAAACGTGCCTCATTTTTACTTTTACTTTTTCCTCCTTTTGCTCATTTGTTCTTCTTATTAAATTTACCATAATGTTCGGGGGCAACTTCACTTAACATCATCACGTAGTCTGGGCTCAATTTCATATGGCAATCTAAATCAAACAAATTAGTAATCAAATACATAATTTCTTTAATCAAATGAAGTAAATAGGACATCAAATGAGGATAAACATTTATCTCAATATATTCAAACACCTAACATATTCAAACTCTATAAACATGTCTGATCAAGCCCATTCCCGCCCAACGACCCCAATTAAGTCCAAAGGGTCATCAAGGGTAATTCCAGCCCAAATGGTCCAATTAGGGTCAGAAGGTCCCGTAAGCCCACAAAGGAAGGAAGACCCAAAAAGCTGACACTTTGCTAGGCGAGAGACTGAATGGACCACTGGGAATGTGAAGTTCCCTCTCGTCAGGCCTTCCGCTTGGTTGTGTAGAGCCCACTCGCGGAGTTGCCTGCTAACCACACGTGGAGGTATTTAATGCATGTCTAATCTACTGGCAGACACAGAGGAATGTCGTCCGTGTCCCCTACTTTTTGCAGGTGCAGTCGCCAACGAAATGATGGATTAAATCGTATTGGAGGTAATTTGAAGTCCGTAATATTTTATTACAGCGATTGGACTGGTAAAATCAGATTGGAGAAGTATTTGACGCCCGGCCCTTTTAGTATAAATAGGGGCATAAAATAAAAGGACTAGCACCGATACAAAATTATTTTTTCAAGCACTTTATATTCACACACGATATCTTCTTCAGGAAGTTACTGACTTGGCCGTCGGAGTGCTAATTTTGGCCTAAGTCCGGATTTCCACTTTTTTGTAGGCTTGTCTACGGACTCAGGTCCAGCATCCGGTCAGCCCACCTGTGAAAGTAACCCACCTCAAATCTAGACTGATCAATGTCTCCATGATGAATGTTATTTACAAAAAAAAATATGTAATTATTACCTAAAAAAATATGCTCAAGTTAATAAACTATTAAAATAAGTTAAACAATTACTTTAAAAATCATCCAATTACTATGTATTTGTTATTTTAGCAGAAATATTTCTAAGTACTAAAGTTCAAATATATTTCTCATAGACTAAAAGGTGGCGGTAAAATTGTAATTGAACAACAAAATATAACAAAACTAACGATTTTACATTTTTGTAAGTTTGACCATGAAACATAGGGAAGAATTTAATATGTTTCATAATTAAGGGGTGTATATGCGAGACACCCCATACTTTTGGGGTGCAAAGTGAACTTTGCAGTATATTAAATGTCCACAAATCCGAGGCCCAATTTCCTACAAATGGGCCATTATCCATATCGACCCGTACGCATTTAATGACAGCCCGCCCGCATTTAATTTCAGACCCGCTTCACCTCACCACAGAAAAAAACCCATCCACATAAAAATAAAAAATAAAAATAAATATTAAATAAATAATGAAAGAACTCTCTACAATTGGCCAATTAGTGAAAATCTCACGGCGTACAGTTTCACTTTCTCACTCCTCCCAAGCAGAGAGAGAGAGAGAGAGAGTAGAATGGCTGCACTCGCTTCCACATTCTTCTCCTCCACTCCAAAAGCATCGCGCTCTTTTGCCGCCAATTCAATCCCCAAATTCCCGCTCACTAAATCTCTGTCCCAATTAAACCGCACCAATTTCATAGCTCCGATCGTCGCCTCCGCTCTCCGCGACAAATTCGTTCGGAGCGATTCCGATTCGGAGCTCGAATCGCGCAGCGGATTGAAGAAAATCGTGGACTCGCTGTTCGTTCTCTGCGCTTCGGTAGCTTTGTCGGCGTCTCTGTTCGTCGCCGACGTTGACTCGGCGGCGGCTTTCGTAGCTAGCCCGAGGAAACTCCAGTCCGATGAGCTTGCCACTGTTCGTCTCTTCCAGGAGAACACTCCCTCCGTTGTCTACATTACTAATCTCGCCTCTAGGTACCGACTATTTTTCATTTTTGTGTTTTTTTTTTTTTTGAATTGGATGTGTTGGTATTTTTATTTCAGTTAGCTGCATTTAATTTAGGCGTTTAGTTGGTGATTAATGTAATTTAGACTGAGTTGATGGTGATTAATGCATTTAATATGGTATGTTTTTTGGTTTAGGCAGGATGCATTTACTTTGGATGTGTTGGAGGTGCCACAAGGATCAGGGTCTGGATTTGTATGGGATACGAAGGGCCACATCGTTACAAATTTTCATGTGATTCGGGGTGCATCTGATCTCAAGTAATTTTAATCTTGTCTTATGTTATTATGTAATTATGTATTTGCTGTTTGTCTCTCTTATGTGCTGGATTTTCTGTGTTTGATGGTTTTGTTTTCGTATCATCATGTACTTTTGGTTTATTTGTTCGTTACTGATTGTATTGCTACTAGAGTTTTACATGCTCATGAAAATTAAATATCTGATAGTTTGATCACTGAAAATCTTTTAAAATTATAGATATATTAGCTTCTGTATGGTAGATACTCACCACGTCTGTGAAGCAAAACGGTTAATTATTGTGCTCATAACGTTGCCTTTATTGGAAATAATCATGGCCTAAAGTTTGATAGGCCTTCCTGATAATGTAATCTCTATGTAGGAAGCTTCGTTAAATTATAATTTTATGTGGATTTAGGTAAGTGTTCATGACATGAGTCACTTTTTTTCTTTTTTAGAGATAATATCGTATATGATAAATCGAAAGATATAAACCGTCCCACTAAAGTGGTGTGGAATTATACAAGATAAAATTGACTCAATCAAAATAAACTAACAAAGCTAACTTGTGTATGTTCTCCATCAGCAACTCGTTGTGTCTCTCTGTTGTTTATTTTGTCCAAACGAGTTTCAGGGATATATATTGACTGAGAATAAACTATTCTAAAAAACTGTGACGAGTTCAATGCTGGCTGATTTCAGGGTCACTCTAGCAGACCAGAGTACATATGATGCAAAAGTTGTTGGATTCGATCAGGATAAAGATGTTGCTGTTCTAAGTATTGATGCACCAAAGGACAAGTTGAGACCATTACCAATTGGCGTATCTGCAGACTTGCTTGTTGGTCAAAAGGTGTTTGCTATCGGAAATCCTGTAAGTTGAACGAAGCCCATTTTCCTCTCTTCAAATAACCGTCTTTCTTTTTTGCAGACTTATTTCTTGTTACTTATCAAATCTGCATTTGTATATGCCTAGACAATGGTAGAAAATTGTCAACAAATTCATTTTATTGGTAAAATGAATAGGTGTGGCTTTGTTTTGGAGAATCCTTCATTGTTCTCATTCCTATATAACCCGATTCCCTATTATGGCAGTTTTCAACCGATAAGGAGTTTTTCAGTGAACTTCATTTTGTTAAAGATTATCTCAGACCCTTGCAAAATTAAACTTCATGATGCATTGCACCGTGATTTCATTTGCCTAGACCAACTCCTTCTCTTCTACGGGGATCTTCTGTTCTTCGATCTCATATAAATTCTTATGATATTTGGCCGAATATTGGCAAAGTTTTGTAATGACCTCTCCGATTCATTTCATAATTAAAGTGCATGTGTGTGTCAACTTTGTTTATTTTGTCCACCGGAAAAGGGTAATTGATATGGTATTTGTGTGATTGCGTGGACAAGCTTCATTTTTGGATGATTATTTTTTACTTTTGTTTGACAAATCTTATGTTTGGATTTATTTTTCCCTGCAGTTTGGACTTGACCATACACTTACAACAGGTGTCATCAGGTATTGTTATATTTGATAATTCCGCAAGCTGAAACTGTATGTAATGTTTCACTTTTTTTCGGGTGACAATATTACTGAAGATCAGTGGTATATTCCAGTGAACAAGTTTCTAGATTTAGAAGAAATTGAACAATGCAGAAAGCATGTAGCATGCCACTTATATTTTCAAATTTCATTTCCTATCAATAGCTTTGTCCGGCTATTACGATACCTCTAATCAATAGAAAGCAATCGTCTCTTACTCACCTCAAATTTTGTTGCTTTGTCATGTTTGTAAATAACATGAACCTATGGATATTAATCAATAGTATGAATCAGTGTTTCTCTAGCAGAAAAAAATGAGTCAGCACCTTCATTAGGAGAGTTGGTATCTACTCTTGCTCATTAGGATCAAAATCCAGGGCTATAATCATGTCCTTCCCCTAGTTCTCCATTCGTAACATGACTTTAATGTAATTAAAGAAAAAGGATAGAGGAAATGAGTACATGGTTCTATCAAAATGATTTATATATTTATTTATTAGTTTATTTTTCTTATTTTTTTAAGTGGGCTTCGGAGAGAAATCAGTTCGGCTGCAACTGGCCGACCAATTCAGGATGTAATCCAGACCGATGCTGCTATTAATCCAGGCAATAGTGGCGGACCACTTCTAGATAGTTCAGGGAGCCTTATTGGTATAAACACTGCTATATATTCTCCTTCTGGTGCTTCATCTGGTGTGGGCTTTTCTATTCCAGTTGACACTGTAAGGAAATGCATACACTATTTCGTAATTTTGACTTCTTTATTCGGGGTTATATAAATATTTACAGTTGGCGATTTTAAGCTTGTAAAGATTTCTCACCACTTTTTTTCCTTCATGTACAGGTAAGTGGCATTGTTGATCAATTGGTTAAGTTCGGTAAAGTTACGAGACCTATTTTGGGAATTAAGTTTGCACCCGATCAGTCAGTGGAGCAACTGGGAGTTAGCGGGGTTCTTGTATTGGATGCTCCTGCTAATGGTCCAGCAGGCAAAGCAGTATGTCTCCTTTACTCTTTTTTATTTTTTATTTTTTTTTATTTAATTAAATGTGTTTATGGATCGATATTTTTTAATCATGCAAATGCTGAAAATTAGCTGTGATGTTTTTTGTTGTCACAGGGTCTTCAATCCACCAAACGTGATGCCTATGGAAGACTTGTATTGGGTGATATAATAACATCTGTTAATGGAACCAAGGTCTCAAATGGTAGTGATTTGTACAGAATCCTCGATCAGTGCAAAGTAGGAGATAATGTGAGTGCTAATAATCAACTTCTAAATCACGAAAAACGATACATATGCTCTTTGTTTCATATTATTCGAATATATGAAACTTAATTGGTGAAAAACATTCTTCTTTGTCCTTTTATGTTAACTGATGTTCGGTTTAACTGATGAATTTTTGGTTTTATTCGTTAACGTTTATGAATATTCTGTTTTATGTGCAGGTGATTGTTGAAGTGCTGCGTGGTGATAAACTGGAAAAGATACCTGTACTCTTGGAGCCAAAGCCAGACGAATCTTAATTTAACAATTGTAAGTTGTAATATTTGTTCAAACCGAGTATTTGACATTGTACATAATCCTCATGAAGCAATTCCCATTGTACTGTACTATCTATTCTTATGCCCGAGGTTGATAACTACAACTCAATTAATAATTAATAAAACATATCTACTTCAAGAACCCAAAATCTTAACGAATTTAACTCAAAACGACTTGCAACGCTCATCTCTGTAGACTCCAAACCCACAGATATTTTCCGTGTCAAACACCATTTAAGGTACATTAGTTGTTTTGTATGAACGGTTTATCTCACACTTTTCGCTGAATTAATTATTTATTGCTTAAATTCATCTGTGACTTGTGTAGGCATAAATTCATCTATAATCCACTCTACGATGAGGAGGAAGCTAACGAGTAAGTGTCTCTTACATAGTTTATGGGATCTAAATTGCATAACCAACTTTATAACTACAGTAGAACCTCGATAAATTAATAACCTTGATTAAATAATAGTTTCTCTCGGTCCCGACTCGGTGAGAACGTGTTAAATTATTAACTCGATAATTTAATAATTCGCTAAATTAATAGATTTTCCCTAGTCCCGACTGTATTAATTTATAGAGGTTTAACTGTACGTCTTTAGCCCCCGCTTCGTTAAATCAAAGCGTTAATCGTCAATAAAAAAAAATCAGGCCATATAAATAATTAGCCGACCCAAAATCAAGTCATTTATTTACCTACCCGAGTTTCTACTTTACATCGTTTAGCATACCCACCCAAAGTCCCCGATTATTAGCCTGAGATACTTGTTTTGTTTATTTTCTTTCTCCTATTGCCCCGAATTCCCTAAAAAAATTAACTAGCCCATTGAAAATATTCTCCCAAAGCTTCGGTTATTGGCCGAAAGAGCACATATATTACGTAAGGATATTAAGGAAACGATGTGTCGATTTACGCATCTATGAATAGAACGTAAAGTAGTAAAACGTAAGGGAACTTCATTAGAAATCTTGAAATTAGGGGAACAATTGATGGCAAAAATCCTTCCTTTGCACACCTAAAATTTATGTTGTTGATGTTGGTTCAATTCAATCAAACAAGCGAAAACCCACTTAATAAACAAAATCATTACATCAACGCTTTTAACAACACCGTGTTTGCCTTGTAATTTTTAAAGAGGACACACCACACAAAATATTCATCATTCATTCATTTAATGTTGAATGAATAATCACTTTCTAGAAAACTTAAATTACGTGTTGTTATTGTCTGAATAATTAAATGTCACGGTACACGTAGCTACCGTCCACTTAACTACACAAAATATCCACAACCATTATTCATCCTCTTAGTCTTGACGCATCTAATCTATATTGAATATGGCAACGTTACACGTTACCATTAAGTTTGAGGTATAAGTATTATTTTTAGATGGCATGATTTATTTCGGCTTAGCCCACTTTACACCCTTGAAATATACCATTTTGCACCCTCAAAATAAATTAATAGCACTTCCCATCCTCGAAACACAATATATTATGCATAATGCACTCTGCGTGAGTTTTTAAAGTTAATAAAGTTTATTTGATTTTATTTCGTAAGAATTTTTTTTTTTCAATTATCCGGTGGGATTTTTATTTTTTTCGCCCTTTGTGCGCTAGAAATTAGGTTGGAGGTTGAAGAAAATAACAATTTAACTTGTTATATTGCATCCCCCAAAAAAAACCAATAAAACATGAATTATCTTTTATTATTCAATTAAGGGTGCATTGTGAATGATTTATTATGTTTTAAGGGTGTAAAATGCTATTAATTTGTTTCTGAGGGTGCAAAGTGCCAAAGTTGTATATTTCAAGGGTGCAAAATGGAATGAAGTCAATTTTTTTTTCCGACTATTGTATTATCAATTACTTATGCTTTACTTAACTGTGCGCCGTGCGGTATATTTAAACTTCCAGTTGTGAATCTTTACTAATTAGATGAAGTGGTAATTTAATGTGATATTATTATTAATAAATTAATGAAAACGGCGATATATCCAAATTACTAAACATCACTGCAGTCATTAAATTAAGTAGGACTGTAATCTAGCTCAAACTTGAAATCAAGTACAGTTTGATTAGCTCCAGCTGATTTAGTTTGTTTTTTTAATTAATTTTCTAGTTCCAAAATATTTTATTTATTTTTTATTATAATATTTATATTCCAACTCGAACTTTCGTCGAACCAATTCATCTAAATCGATTCAATTGTTCTCCTATTTTTATATATAGAATATTTGTTTTCCTAAATTTGAGTGCTAATTTTGGGTATATTATTACGTTTGAGATAGGTGGCAAATAAATATCATTTGCGTTGGTTGCCCCCTAGCTAACTCAAAAACCAATAGCCAATATGAACAGTTACTTTCAATCATAACAACTGAGACAAACTACCTCATATTCCTCCAGAAAATACTGAGGTTTTAAATTACACTCCAAAAATGGTAGGTATACTTTCATCTAACCTGCTTTGGCTTTGTCATTTTCTTTAAATGTTTATAATTTTATAGGGGGAAATTACGGTCACTTCTTAGGTAAGATTAAATTACGATTTACGAAAACATCTTCTATGTTTGGGTAATTACAACCATTACTCTCAACTATGATCTTCCTAGTACTTTTGAGGTGTCAAATTTAATAGAATTTTCTAGATTACGCGGAATATTCTCCAGTTTGTTCATGTTTTAACTTATTCCAGCTCGGAATTTTGACACAAGATGATCATGAAATGTATATCTTATCTTGTAAATCTCAAATCGTAGTGCATCATAAACTACCTTTTTGCATAAAACGAGTTTAAATTAGATAAAATTCCACGCAATGTAGAATATTATGTTGAATTTGACATGATAAGAGTGGACGTGTAAGAAAATTCATAATCGAGGGATCGCTACAATTATCGAAACATGAGATTTTTTTTCGTAATTTGATCTTACCTCGGAACTTAATTTACCCCAATGTTATATGATTAAACAAGCTATACTCAGCTTCTCGCCACAAGAGAGACCAATTTATTTTTTTAATTAATAATAAAATAATAATGCCTCGAAACAATTGTAAATTGCTTGCAATAGCTTGCATTTACAGTTCAATTACACCGACCATTTTCAGAAATGAGCCTTAAATTGTTTGTCTCTTCATCATTGCACATGATCCCGTTTTGCTATTTAATAATTATTAATTATTAATTGTTAATTACTAGTATTAAAAAAACTGATCTTCCTTAATTGCGGAAAGCACAAGGAAAGGGAGATGCTAATTTCGAAGTAGCTTCAGTAATAACTATATATAATTATATATTAGTAATAAATAAATAATCATTGTTAATTTGTTACGTTATTTAGGGAAAAATAAATAATAAATCAAAATCCAGCTGAGTACCACAATACAAGCTGGTGGTACAATGCTTCCGATGCAGGGGTTTTAGAAGTGCGGTAAAACGTTGACATTGGCGAAAAACCCTACCAGTCCTTTTCTGTACGGTAGATACGATTTCTTCTTATCCCCTTCCTTCATCGCTCTGTTCCGTACGTAAAACGCCTCGTGCGCCGACGGAGATCCCGGCGCGCCGGCGGCGGCGCCGCCGGGTGAGCTGGATCGTTTTGCGTTTGCTTTTTCCGAAGTTTGGTTGGTTGATTTGTACGATTTGTCCTCCTGTTGCTTCGGATGTAGAAAGACGAAACTGTCCTTGCCGTCGCTTTTGCTCCGGCGGAGCAAATCTCGGAATTTCCACCTCTTCGACGCCGATCCGGTGGATTTGCTCTTCCTGCACTGGCTGGGAAGCGGCGATTCGGCCAATTTCGGCCGCCACACGCAGTACGTACCCGCCGGAATGTTCTCCAGCTCATCCGCTTCGGAGGAGGAGCACGACGGAGGAGAATCGCGCTCCCGGTCCTCTTCGATAAACAGTCTGCTCAACGGAACTACAACACTCGATTCCACCGGCGCGTTTTCTCCGCCGCTCGTGCTCGCCTCTCCGCCGCCGCCGCCGTCAAGCAGGAGATTGCGATTAAATACTGGAAAAACCGTCCTGATCTGGCCGGCGCCGTGGAAAAACTCCTCCGCAAACTCAAAATCTTCATCGCCGCCGGCGACTCTCACGGCGGTTTCCGCCAATCTATCGGAGGAATAGCTGCTGAAGCTTGGGCAAATATAAACATCGTCCTGGCTGTTATTCATCATATATAGTAGTACTAACTACAATATTCAATTTTATATATGTATATAAGCTCGAGTGGAAAAGTAGAGAGAGAAAATGAAAAGGAAAAAAGAAAAATTGGTTTTAGAGAGAGAAAGAGGCGGAGGAAGGCGAGTAGGTTTCGTTGGAGAGTGGGATACGAGATATATATATACAGGGAGGGTTCTAGAAGAAAGGGGGGATACAGAGTGCAGCTTTATTTACTTGGTTCACACGACTAATGCGGTTAGCTCACACGTGTGCTTCCAGAATTGAAGCAAAGGCCCCGCGTTTATGCCACTCTGGCTATTCATCACTTCTATGAGTTCTACCTTATTTTTTGATTTCTACATACCTTGTTTTGAAATTTCATTGCAAAAATTGGGGTTCATAGTTAGGGATGACAATATCTCCTATTAAATATGTTACAAAATCTTTAGGTGGCGTTTGCAAAATCTTTTTCCTTATGTATTACGAGTTAAATCGGGCTCGTGATCAGTGTATCGGCTTCATAAATGACCATATTGACCGATCTAAAGCCTAAAGTTTATTTGTTATGTATAATAGTTTATAATTGTAGTTTCATTTAACTTTAAATACACTAATAAGAATCATCTCACCTAGGGGTGTAAATGAGCTGAACTCGAGTCGGGCTCACCAGTTTTTTCGAGCTCGAGCTAGAATCAAATTCGGTGAGCTCGAGCTCAAGCTCATCGAACTTTAATTTGATGAGCTCGAACTCGAGCTCGAGCCCAACTCATCTTATATTTTTTCTATTTTTTTTTAATAATTTTTACATAATATTGATTTTAGTTTTTATAATAAATTATTTGTATGAAAAATAAAAAATTACAAAATAAAATATTAATCTGTAACTTTTTTAATATATATGTATATATGTTTATTATTATATATTAGTTATTTTATATCAATAAAAAAAATAAAAAAAAAAATATATATATATATATAACTCGTGAGCTTATGAATAGCTAAAGATGAGCTCGAGCTCGTCAAAAAGCTCGAGCTCGAAAAGTTCGAGTTTTTGTCGAGTCCATGAGCAGGCTGAGCTCATTTATACCCCTAATCTCACCCTCGGCGTTTTGATGGTTGTTGAGAACCCAATTAATTAATTAATTAATTCTTAATTTACATTATCGTTGATATAAGGCCCAATATAAAATAAAATGAAGGCCCAATATATATCTCTTAGAGTCCATCTCCCGGAGAAAGCCCGTGAAGATATGAAGTAACTCCCCGAGACCCATGAGTTCTCCACATCATACCATTTTTTGTTTTTTCATAACTAAAAATTCAATTATTTTGTTGCCCAATTTGCTTTATTATTTTACTTTATTTACAAAGGAACCCATGGTGACATAGATGCAACTCGTTAAATTCCATTTTCGTGCAATACCCACGCATTACGCTTATTCGGGATGTGATAAATGTGGTTCCAGTTTTTAATATTATTGTTTTGACTACAAACACTATCTTGTCCATTTTTTTGATGTTGAATGTAGCAAAACATAAAACACAGAATTTGTAATGTTTAAAGTTAGCTTTATAATTCAATTTAAATAACCAAGATTGAATGTTGAGAGATAAAATATGCATGAAATCAATAAATGTTGTCCGCAACTTTGATACTTTGAATTATATAAAACTACAAAATATAACTCACTAATACGTAACTTTATCGCCCGATATCCAATCGAGCTGATTAACTTTGAATTAGAAACCTATCTCAAAACACTAAAATTTCCTAGAATCGGACTAGAAAATAACTAGAATCGCATTAAAAACCAAATTGAAATTAATAAAATTGAAACGACACGTAACGCTAATTAGACCAACTTTGCATTCATATAAAGTAGATTCTTGAAAGTGCAAAAAGTGGTGATAATTATATGGTAGTAGTATTATTATCCGAATAGAAGTGATAGTTGACTAACATTGGTCCTTCCCTCACATGCAACTCAATCATCTCCCAACATATGTTCCCCCCTACCCCATTGTCGTTATTATCTATATAACTCAAATATTCAAACAAGCAACTTTTTTCGAGCTATTTAAACATGCTTTGTTTCGTACTTATCGAGTCGTTTCAAATCATTTCGAGAGTAACAAATCGTAGGTAGAGTTCTTTATCACCGAATTATTCACTTCATGTATGGTGGAGAAAAGTCAATAATCTAACCGAAATTCTGAACAATATGTCAAATTTTCAATTGAAGTTTAGATGATTCTTTTTATCGATGTCTCAACTATTACATGTTTCTTCTAATGTGTTCATCTAAAAAAACTCGAAATTAGCCGAATGAAATCGGACTATAATAAAACCGCTTATAGCCCTACCGGCTACCACCACTAAAGATAGATAAATTTAATGCGCTAGTATATTTATTTTTCTCTAAAAGACGAGGAAAAAAAATCAAATTCACAAATTTCGTTGGAGTTACAATAAATGTGTAATTAATAGGACCTTGTATCGTATCAAAATTCGTGTTCGATTCGATTAGAACTCGTTCCATTTATATGATGAACTAACCCAAGTCAAATTTTCTTCTTTCCTTTTATTTTTCCTTTATTTTACTTTTTTTTTTTTAAATAAATAAATATTGGGCTTAAATTACTTACATTATTTAAAAAAATATATATACTAACATTTTAATTTATCTGAAATTATTCCATTTCAATTCAACCGTAAAACTATATGGTAAAGATTCCTTCACAGACGGTAGAGCTTATTGTATCTATGATGATTCTCTCGACATCGCCAATGGCGATGTAATCGAAACTAGCTCAGACGACGTCGTTTGTAACTCCTTTCTTTCTTCTTCTCCCTCTTTAATAAGAGCAGATTCAGCTCTTCACCATTTTTTTTTTAAATTCGGAGTTGCTCGACGTGAAACCCTAGTTCCGTTTCTGATAATCCTATGTAAATGAGAATTTCGCCATGAATTGATGGCTGTCCATTGATTTTGCAGGTAATTTTGTTGAATTTCGTTTGATTAAATGGCAAATTATATGTAGTTTTATCTGGTGGTGGTGCTGGAAAGCTTGCATGCTCGTTTTTGTTAGAAATTTATCTGATTTCTTAGTTTAATTAGCAATTTTGCGAAGGAGTAGCTTTCACTCAGTAGTGATTTTTGGAGAGCAAGCTGTTTGTCTGCTGCTCATGGTTTACTACTCATGCCAGTTGTCATTTTTGGCAATTTGAGAAACTTTATTTATTTATTTATTTTTTATATTGGGTGTAATGTGTTTTAATCATGTTGCATGTGAATTATAGTGATTTCGTTGTCGAACTGACATTGCCCGACTTGTATTACCTGTAGTTATGAGTGACACTTGCTAAATACTTTCGACTTAAGCTTTTTGTGGCAATGTCATGGCGGAAAAGATGGAAATCGATGAGATGACGTAGATTAGCGGAATGAAATCTTACTAAACAAATATCTGAAATTGGATACCCCTTTTCGTGTTTAAACAAGTAACGAGAAGATTGAGTTTCAATCATGTTCCATGGTATAAATATTTCTGGTTACAGCACCGGTATCACCTGCTGTTAAAATTAAACAAATGATTTGCTGTTCGTCGTTTTGAATGTCCGATCTGATCTTGTGAGAGAATCAGAAATGGTATACTAATCAAGATTTAGGCGTAAAAACTTGTTTAGTAGGTTGCATTATTGATTTAAAATTTTTGGCAAGCAACCACATTCCTCCATTTACGCACTCGCGAAAAAAGAAACATATCTGGTGTCCTGTTTCACCAACTGCATACTGAGGATTTTGTTTTAACAGTTATTATTTATTTTCACAGATAAGTTGTTGCATCATCTTTTTGGATCATTTGTTCCTTCGATTTTTCTCGAACTTTTATAATTTATTAGTCGAAATGTTTCTGGAAGGTATGGAACATGGATCTGATTAACCTCACTTCATTTATACTACAGTCTAAACAGAAACAGGTTTTTCTTATCTACAGGTATCTGTGGAGGTTGGGTTTGCTGACATGGATAATTTCAGGGGTCGATTTATCTTTTCTATTTGTTCCATTTGAATGTCCATAATTGGAGATTGGTTTTAGATAAACTTTGGAGTTAAATATCTAGTTGTAAGGTTCGTACAGCTGCAGACGTTGTAGGAAAAGGGACAATGTTAAATTATTGGAGTGAGACATCACATTATTTTGACACCCACCCTCCTTTGTCTGTATCCAGTTGATGTTAACCGGGACATCATTGTATAGAGGAGTCGACATTGTAGTATAAGGAAAACATGGAATCTGTTTCAGAGAAAAAATATCCGCTTACTGCCGAAGATTATAAGTTGTTAGAGGAAGTCGGGGACGGTGTCAGTGCTACTGTTTATAAAGCTCTTTGTGTTCCACTTAACGAGACCGTTGCAATCAAGGTTCTGGATCTTGAGAAGTGTAATAATGACTTAGTATGTCTTCTTCTTCTTCCAATGTATTATAACGAGTGCTCTTTTGAATATATTCTCGTTTGGATTTGGATAGTTATCTAAATTTGCCGTTAGCCGTTGTATCATGTGAGCCATTTTGAATTCATCAACATTTTTATGCTCACCTCCCTTTAATGTTTTGAGTTTATCAATGCTTTGTTGCTTTCTTGCATCTGCTTGACTTTGAAATATGTGATTATTCATATTCGGATTGGTCTTGTTTTGGGTTTTCTATTTAGTCTCGGAAAATATATTTGGTGCATGCAGAACTAATTTATGAAAGAATGATTGTCAAGTTTTGAAGAAATGTGTTGTAGAATTAAATGTTTATCACAGAAGCTCGTATTCAAGATGTTCTAGACGTAGCAACGTTATGTTGTCTGCAGTAGACTGTTGCTTTTAGGAGATATGTCTTGGGAGTGAAGATATCAAACGAGAGCACTAGATTTGAAAAGAATCTACCTTGCAAACAACAATTAATTTTAGGAGATTTCGAATGATAAAAATTGGGAGGCATAACACTACATGACGATTTGATGAATTTCCTGTTTACTCTTGTATGTGTCCATGAGTTATCTGTAAGGCTACTGAATATTGTCTTAAATGTGACACTCTTGTTAGCGATATGGTACTCTGAATTGAGGTTTTATTCCTGTCTTCTCCGTCTCTCTTTAATTTTGTTTTTGTTGGGCCGTCAAATGAATAGGACAACATTAGGCGAGAGGTTCAAACAATGATCTTGATTGATCATCCAAATCTCTTGCGGGCACACTGCTCCTTCACCGCTGGTCAGAGTCTATGGGTTGTAATGCCTTACATGGCTGGTGGTTCTTGCCTACACATTATGAAATCGGCTTTTCCGGAAGGTTTTGAGGAGCCTGTTATTGCTACATTATTACGTGAGGTCCTCAAAGCTCTTGCGTATCTTCATGTACATGGACATATCCACAGAGACGTAAAGGTATGCCTATTTTACGTCGCTTGCTTACTTGATGTAACTGCTCTTTTAGATTCTTCATTCTGCGTTATTTCATCTTTAATTTACTAATTTGAGTTGAAACCATGATGGAGAATTATCTTGTAGTTTAGGTATTTTGTCGGGACCGCTGAATATGTAAATTTGCTTCTATATTTTTTTGTATTCATCATTGGGCTTTGGCTGTTATTTGGTTTATGGTGTATGTGGTGTCGGTAAATGTGTTTCGTGTGGTATATGGTTTATTTGCAGAACTTGCCCCAAACAATAATTTCTTCATGTTTTAGTTTTACCAACTCTTATCGTTTTATTTACTTCTCTCGATTCATTTAATCTCACAGGCCGGGAACATACTGGTTGATTCTAATGGAACCGTTGCATTAGCAGACTTTGGAGTAGCTGCATGCATGTACGATACTGGTGATCGGCAGCGGTCGAGAAATACTTTTGTCGGAACCCCATGCTGGTAAGATATCTGCATTTATGGCAATTTTATATTTTAAGATATTTTTGGAAGGGATTAATTAAATGTTTCTGAAAACCTCTTGTTTTGCTTGAATATACACGTATATTATTATAGGATGGCCCCTGAAGTCATGCAGCAGTTACATGGATATGATTTTAAGTGAGTATTTGATGAAGATGTTTTTTATTCTATCTATTTCTTAAATTGCCTTTATCTTTCTCAGTTGATTTCTAATTTGTTTTGCATCTACAGGGCAGATATCTGGTCGTTTGGAATCACGGCACTCGAACTTGCTCATGGTCATGCACCATTTTCCAAGTACCCTCCAATGAAGGTTGTTAACGACACTACGCGTATCGTTTATTTGCATCTTAAAACACGCAGAAATAAGTGGTCTAAACATGTTTTTCTTATACTAAATGCAGGTTCTACTAATGACGCTACAAAATGCACCGCCAGGGTTGGACTATGAAAGAGACAGAAGATTCTCCAAGGTTTATCCTATTTTACTGGAACTTCGATACTAAATATCATGTCTTGATTCTAACAAACTACTTTTCTCAGTCTTTCAAAGAAATGGTTGCTGCTTGCTTGGTGAAGGATCCTAAAAAACGACCGACCGCAGAAAAGCTTTTGAAGCACGCTTTCTTTAAACATGCACGGACAAATGAATACCTGGGCCGTGCTATCCTTCATGGATTGTCCCCTCTGGAAGAACGCTATAGGGTTCTTAAGGTCCCATCCTTGTCCAATTCTCTTATTTGTTTGCGATTTCTTTGACAAAGTTATTGTTTTGTTTGATTACTCTTTTAACATTGTGAATTTTTCTAAAACCAAATCATTTCAGGCAAAAGAAGCTGACATGCTTGTACAAAATAAGGCATCGTATGAGGACAAGGAACAGCTATCACAGGTTGGAAGTCAACCTTCAAAAATATAATTATGCATATAGAGAATATTTTTTTTTGCTTACAACCCCACTTGTTGAAGTGTTGTGCCTGTAATTAAGTTATTCCAGCTGCTACTTCACTAATGATGGACTAAATTTTTGTTTCTATTAAGTTAACTCTTTAAGGAAGTTTAGTAATTATTCAAAAACACGACTAGGACTTAACTATCTGAACTTTTAAATTAAGGAAATTAATCATGGAGAGTAGGTCAATGCAATTGTCACGCGGGAATTGGATGATTCGGCAACAATCCTGAGACGAATCAGCTAAAACTTGACAAATGTATAGAAACAGGATCGTGAAGATCGATATATTAATTTCTTTATGCATATATTAATGTAGTTTCAGTTGTGGTTGATTTTATTATTGTTTCATGCTTTCTTATTCATTGCGTCTTTGTGTGACAACGTAATGTCAGTAATAATTAATTAAAATAAAAAAAAAATTCCAGCATTCTCATGCACATATTAAAGATTCTAGCCAGACTTACCTCGAGTTGTTGCTATGTGCAGCAAGAGTACATTCGAGGAATCAGTGCGTGGAATTTCAATTTGGAGGATCTGAAGAATCAAGCTGCCCTTGTATGCCATAGGCGATTGATTAGTTGGTTAAATTGGTTGAATTCTTATAAATGCCAGCTTCGATAAGGTCTTTTGTTGCTTGCAGATTCAAGAAGATCTTATGTTGAATCCAGAAGATTCAAGTGTGACCGAGAAGCATTTGGATGGTCTGGAGATGTCATACCCTGAGGTGGCTCGTCATTCTAAAGATGAATTTCAGTTGGAGGTAATAGTTATACCTAGATCTGAACTATGTCTCTTACTATGTGTTTTTTTCTCTTGGTTTTTGATTCTTTTTCTCTGATTTCTATAGTTTGTTTCTTATTTTATTAGGATGAACTCAGTGAATTACCTAACTTAGAGGATTCGCTTGCTGCATTTCCCATGAAACCTCTTCAGGCTCTAAAGTAAGCCATCATAATCTATATTATTGTGTCTGTTCTTGTTTCCATTCTATGACAATAATACTTGGTAATATGTACATAACTTTTAAATGAATAATTGGAGTGGTACACTACTTTGTTTGTGGTAGCAAAAGCGCTTTCTCAAAAACGATGTCAGAAGGGAGAAAGTGGGAAATTGAATCTTATTTGTTTCAATTGAAACTTTTCTTAGTTCCCTTCTTAACAAAGTGGAATGATATAAATAATATTTCTCAAGTCTAACGACTCTTGATTCTCATCTAGAGAGCTTAACAAAGCCTTGCCTTTCGTATTAGTTATCATGTACTGTGGAGATAATGACGGCCATAGTTTTGATCAATTTATTTAATCAATTGCTGTATTAACACGGCCATAACTTTGATCGTTTTAACAGCATATCTCGACGCCTTATTCCTTTCCTAAATTCTATGTAATGCAGAGGTTGTTTCGATGTTTATGAAGATGATGTTCCTTCTGGTAGTCCAAGTTTGAGAGATCCTGTCAATTCGGATTCAGAACAACTTAATCAACAGCAGGCATTGGGGGCTGTGGATCGAGAAGCAGAAAGTGGTTCCTTGTCACATTCTGTCATTACGGGGCCTAGAAAGTTTCTGAGTGGCTCTCTGCTTCAGGATAATGTTCTCTCCCCAAAAAAAATTATCGGTGATGGAGATAGGTATAAGTTTGTTTACATGTTGATTGAATTTGCAAGTTCCAAGTATCAACATCTATTAGTCAGTTCATATATTCCTATGGGTGATGGCGCAGCAATATACCTTAATTTATTTTTAATAATTGAGTAAAAAATATGTATATTGGAAACTAATGGTATTCTGCATTGTGTTTTCTTAATTATAACGAGATTGGCATCCTAGATTGTCATTGTTTTGTTCGTTGCCTATACTAAATATTCTTTTTTGATTGCATGCATTATTAGCAAATATGTCTTGAGTAATATGATTTTTCTTTATGTTTAGGGAATATCTACTACCAAGAAATCAAACAGAACGCAATTATAGTGGACCGCTACAGCCTCGTCAAAAGAAAGATTTTGGTAATTCTAATGCTGGTAAATGAATTTACAGAAACTGCCATGTTATTTCTCATCTAAATGGGCCTCGGGTTTTCTTTTGGTGTTTTTATTTGATTATATTTGTATGTCCTAAAACACTTTGAGACGTGAATTTAGGGGAGGACACATCAGATGGTGCCGTGGTTGAGCGTAGAGGTCGTTTTAAAGTCACTTCAGCAGATATGAGTCCCAAGGTATAATTTCAATAGTGACGCAATTTTTCGTTTGTTTGTTTTTTTATTTAATCGTTTTTTGTTGTTTTTCTCTTAACGTAAAAAGTAAAAAGTAATCAGTAAACATCGACGTAATGATGTAATAAAAAATAGTTGCCTAGTGTGTTTCTGATGCACTCTGGATTTGACTATTGCGCTAGATGTTTGCTTTGTCGCTGCAATGTGTTTACAGTTTGCTACTTTTCGTGCATTACCAAATGAATGTTGCATGCTTCCAAATGTATTCTGCTTACATAAACGGAGTAGAGATGATTTTTCCTGCTTCTTTGGGATACGGACCACATTATTATATTAATATAGAAACCCACATAAACGATTGCATATTTAAGTATCGACTTTCCAGATACATTTGATTATGTTGTGGGTTGGCGTTTATAGACACTAACTAATTAATTGATTTGAAATAGCTGCACACTTTAAATTAGCAAAAAAAGAAAAAATCTCAATATCTCTTTTCATATACGTTTCAGCTCGAAGTCGAATATTTTGTTCATTGATTTCATTTACACGAGCACTATATATATATATATATATATATATATATATATATATATATATCAGTCAAGATTAAGATTAATGAAACTTAGTTATCTCTTATTCAGAGTCCAGTAAACGTCAGTAACCCGATATCCGGTGGTTCAACAAGCCCAACATCACCAAGTCTATCTGCTGCTTCACTTCTGCCGTCGTTGCATATCATTCTGCAGCAGAACACTGCACTAAGAGTAACCACTGCTTTTCTCAAAACTTACGTAATTCTTTTATCAGTCATTGCTCACTCATCCCTGCCTATTGATATTGTCAGGAAGAGTTACTTAAATTGCTCAAGTATGCCGAGCAAACTTCTGGTAATGCCATTAATTTATACTTCGTGAGAACATTTTTCTCGCCTGATTCGTGAAAAAATAAATTTTGCTCGACTTCTTATCTCAATTGTTGATTTTTCCGTTGTCCAGGCCATGCTACTGAGTTAACAGATGCAGGGACAAATGGATTTTTGCAGGTATTTTTTTTTTATTATATTTATTTATATATTTGAAAAAAAAGATGTGGTGGTGTTCACGGGTTTTGAAGAAGTTTTGCGGACGCTCTTCTACGCAAATTTCTTACGGTTTATGAGAAAAGAAAAACAGTGGTAATTACGTATTGGTTTTTACTTATTGCAGGTAACCACCCCGACTTCTGTCAGGGAGCGAGAACTGCAATCTCAGGTGATTCAGTTGCAACAAATGTATGAAATTTAACCCTTCTATACATAAGCTTTTTTTTTTTTATATATATTATTATTATAAATCTACTATCTAAAAACGAGTTTCGAAATGTCAGCACTGGAAGTCTGGTTGAAGAACTTCAGAGACTGAAGGCTAAAAATTCTCAGGTTTGTCCTTTTTGTTGCCACATTGAAATATAGCTAATTCTTTCATCTTCTCTAGCTTTATTCATTATATCGTATCGAACATCGGCAAAAGATTTTATTACCAGAATTCTCACTAATTTCACGTTGTAACTGTTAAGTTATATATATCAAAATAACACACACACACACACACACAGTACATTATCCATCTTCCTCTTTCGGTTTTTACAGTTGGAAAGAAAGTTAAACGCAATAAGGGAGTGACGAGGTTCCTACGGAGAAGAAAAAAAGGTGACGTGGCGCAATATCGAAAGATACTTCTCTCCTGTATAAAAATCCAGGGACATATAGGTAAATTATTTCTGTAGCATATTATGAACATATTAAGCAGGTGCCCTTTTTAGTTACAGTTCCTAATTTCGGTGGCATGTGTTGTGTATTTTTTAACTCTATTTCTCCATTATTAAAATACAAAAATAAATAAATTAAGTGGAATAAATAAATAATTTAGCCAAGAGAAGCCTGCAAGAGTCAAGACCTATTAATTTTTATTTTTATTTTAATAATTAGCCAGAAAAATCCACAAGAGCCATCGTGATTAGTGGGTTCTAAATATTTTTTTATTAATTTATTTCATAAATTACATTAGGGGTGCAAATAAATTGAGTCAAATCGATCGCCTGGTTGTGCAAGTTATTTTTTATTTTCTATCGAGCTTTTAGCTTTGTGTTTTAATTTAGTTTAATTAGCAATCGAGTCGAGCTCGAACAAGCTTTAATCAAGACGTACATGAATTGAGCTAGTATAGCTTAATTTTTTGTACATATTTTATTATTATCTTCAAGTATGAGTGGAGCCCTTACAACTTATTAATATAAAAATGTATGTTCAAATTTGGCTCATTGCAACAGCAAATCGAGCTTTTAACGACTCGTCTTGAATCGAATATTGAGTAGTTTTTATTAATTCAATCTTAAGGTATATATAAATATAACATTATCTTTTTTTCTTTCTAATTTTTACATAACATTAAATCTAATTTTTATTATAAATTATTTATATGAAGAATAAAAAGTTATTGAATAAAACATAACTATGTAAAGATGGGCTCATGAACAACTAAAGATGGGCTCAAGCTCGAGTTCGTCGGAAAGCTAGAGCTCGAGTTTTTATCGAGCCGGATCAGCTTATTTTCACTTTTGACCATTCACAAGAAAATGGATTACTTCGTAATGAGTAAAACATAAATGCTGTCAAATATTATATAAACTTCAAATCTTCCATCCCAAATCCCTATTTCACTATCTATTTAGCTGTTTTGGATTTGTGATAATAACATCTGATTATCAGATAAACCCAAAATAATTTCAGGAACACGTGTCACAAATCTAAAATGTAATTAAAATAAAATAAAAAAATAAATTGCTGGGTCGACCAGAGACAATTTCCTTCAATAGCTGACAGTGGAAACGTGTAATAAATTAATATTCTATTACAGTTGAAGCTTGCATGTAGAGAGCC